TACGTCTGTTCAGATTTTCTATTTCTTCCTGATTTGGTTTTGGGAAATTGCAGATTGCTAGGAATTCACCTATTTCTTCTAGGCTGTCCAATTTGCTGGTATATAAGTTTCCAAATATTCTCTTATAATCAATTATATTTCTGTGGTATCGGTTATTTCCTCTCCTTTATTTATTTCATTCCTTACTTCTTCTTGATAAGCCTGGCTGTTTATCAATTTTGTTTATCTTTCCAAAGAACCAGCTTTCTATCATTGTTCTTCTCTGTTCTTTTTTTCCATGTCTATTTCGTTTATTTCTGTTCTGATCATTATTATTTCCTTCCATCTACTAGCTTGGAGATTTGTTAGTTGTTTTCTGGCTCCTCTAAGTGTTAGGTTAGGTCAGTTATTTGAGATTTTTCTTAATTCTTAAGGTAGGCCTGTATGACTCTAAACTTCCCTCCCAGAAATACTTTTGCTGTGTCCGGAAGATTTTAGCCTACACTATTTTCATTTGGCTCCATGTCTTTATTAATTTTCTCTGATTTCATCCTGATTCATTTGTTGCTTAGTGTCATGTTGTTTATCCTCCAAGAGTTTGTGGGTTTTTTCTTCTTACAATTATTTCTAGGTTCATACTGTTGTGATCAGAAACGATGTTTGATATGAGTTCAATCATCTTAAGCTTTTTGAGACTTTGTTTTATGACCTTACATGTGATCTATCCTAGAGAATGTTCCCTATGTACTTGAAAAGAATGTGTATTCTGCTGTTTTTGGATGGAATGTTCTGTATATATCTGTTAGATCTGGTCTAATGTATCATTCAAAGACACAGTTTCCTTATTGATTTTCTGTCTGGATGATCTACATTTTACTGTCAATCTCTCTCTTTATATCTATTAATAGTTTTGTTTTACTGTCAATCTCTCTCTTTATATCTATTAATATTTGCTTTATGTATTTAGGTGGTCCTATGTTGGGTACAGAGATTTGCAATTGTTATATCCTCTTATTGGATCGATCCATTTATTATTACATAATGCCCTTCTTGGTCTCTTGCTACAGTCTTTGTTCTAAAGTCTTTTGTTTGTTTGTTTGCTTGGACATACGAACAAGTTTAATTACCTGCTACACCATCCAGATGGAAATACATGGGAAATGGATGAAAACAAGGTTCATAAACTTAGGAGACAGGCATGCATTTTTAGACCATTTTAGGTTTAGACATTTACCAGACTATTTTTGAATATTTAGAAGATTTTTTTTTTTTACCACAATAAGCAAAACCATATATTAAAATGGACTTCCAGGGACCCCTGGGTGGCGCAGCGGTTTGGCGCCTGCCTTTGGCCCAGGGCGCGATCCTGGAGACCCAGGATCGAATCCCACGTCGGGCTCCCGGTGCATGGAGCCTGCTTCTCCCTCTGCCTATGTCTCTGCCTCTCTCTCTCTCTCTCTCTCTCTCTCTCTCTGACTATCAGAAATAAATAAAAAAATAAATAAATAAATAAAAAAAATTAAAAAAAAAATAAATAAAAAATAAAATGGACTTCCAGAGGTGCCTGGCTGGCTCAGTCAAAGCAGTATGTGTTTCTTGATCTCCAGATCGTGCGTTCAAGCCCCACACTGGGTGTAAAGATTACTTAAATAAGTAAAACTGTAAAAAAAAAAACAAAAAACAAAAACCTGACTTCCAGAAATGGCCATCTTTTTTTTCTTTAACCTAAGTTTCTTTTCACATTTCTTTAAATGTCAAGTTTTCTTTGTGGCAAATTTATCCAAAATACTAAATTTCCACTGTAAAACTTATTTTATAGTTATATAAGAGTGCCCTAAATTGATGTTCATCAAGGTATCTAAGCCCTAATGGTTTCTACCTTCCTTTTAAAATGTATTATGTTTTAAGTTGTCATTCTCAGAAATAGCAGAGAAAAAAATTATGAATTAAACACCCATAAATTCATCTTCATTTCTGTTATAGTGTAGCAATTTATCATCTAACCCATAGTGGTCTATCAACTGAGTAAGGCTGGATTTCTTCTCCTCAAACATAGCTGATACAACTCATAAAGCAATAGGTGGCTCCAGCTTCTCTACTTCTTTATTAACAACTATAACAGGACAATCTTTGAGCTGTAAATTTTTTACCAGTTTTAGCCTCTGAAGACGGTGTTCTTTCTCCTCAATCTGCTTGTCCAACTTTGCTTTTTCTTCACTTAATCCTCGTTTGGGAAGATCATTTACAATGTCACTTTGAAGATCACTGCAAGCCTCAGTATCAAGTGATTCAGTTTCACATGCACTGATTTTCTTTTCTTTTTTTTTTTTTTTTTACTTTTTTTTATTTCTAAGTAATCTCTATGCCCAATGTGGGACTCAAACTTTCAACCCTGACATCAAGAGTCGCATGGTCTATCAACTGAGCTACCTAGGCCCTGCACTGACATTCTTGAAGGTATTTTTCAAATAAATTTCTTCAAATTCACTATCTGTGTGTTTAAAATTTTCTCGAAATACCAAACAGTTTTCTTCTATCGAAGATGCTGGTTTCTCTGAAAACATCTCATCATTTCTTCATTCTCTATGTTAAGCATTTTACCACACTGTAACAGGAATTAAATGAAGATCTAGTTTTCCTTAAGCATTCTCTAAGGGCTGCACTCATAGCTTGTTTTCTTGAACTACTCCCCATATGGGAGACAGTGGATTGGCATAGTCCTGAGGAGTGCTAGCTAAAATCACAGCTGAGTCGGATGGGCTTTCCATCTTGAAAATGAAACCTTGGTGACCCTCTTCCACTGCCATTCCCAGAGTGCAGAAAACACACCTCAAGTATTATTAGCCTGGCTTTTTTTGTTTTTCACTCCTATTTGCAGGGTTTACGTTTTTCCATCTGATCACTTTCAGTCTGTATATACCTTTACGTCTTGAAGTGAGTCTTGGGTAAACAGCATGTAGATGGGTCTTATTTTTTTATCCAGTCACTCTATGTCTTTTGATTGGAGCATCAGTCCATTCACATTTAAGTAATTATTGATAGGTACAGACTTACTACCAGTTTGTTAATTGTGTCCTTATTGTGTTTGGTTTTTTTCTTCTTTTGCTCTCTTCCCTTGGGGTTTGATATTTAGTCTTATGCTTGAATTTCTTTCACTTTATTTTTTATGTATCTACTTCAACTTCTTCATTTGTAGTTACTCTTGGGTTATATATAACATCTCGTGTATAACAGTCTATGTTATATTGATTGTAGCTTAAGTTCGAACTAAAAGCAGTAAATTCTTACCCTCCATGTTTTATAGATATGATGGTTTTATATCTTCTTATTTTGTGTATCCTTAGACTAACTTTCATTGGTAAAACTGATTTTACTACCTTAGTTTTTATGTTTTAACCTCCATATTGGCTTTATAAGTGATCAATTTACTACCTTTATTATGTTTGCCAATTTAACCAAGGAGGTGAAAAATTCTATATTCTGAAAACTCTAAGACACTGATGAAAGAAACTGAAGACAACACAAAAAATGGAAAGATATCCCATGGTCATGGATTGGAAGAATTAATATTATTAACATGTCCATATTACCCAAAACAATCTACAGATTCAGTGCCATCCCTATCAAAATACCAACAGCATTTTTCATAGAACTAGAACAAATAATACTAAAATTTGTTTGGAACCACAGAAGACCCTGAAGAGCCAAAGCAATCCTGAGAAACAGTGAAGTTGGAGGTATCCCAATCTCAGATTTCAAGATATACTACAAAGCTCTAACAATCAAAACAGGATGGTACTGGCACAAAAACAGACACAACTGGAAGCCCAAAAATGAATCCACGTTTAAATGGTCAATTAATCTATGAGAAAGGATGCAAGAACGCACAGTGAGGAAAAGAGTCTTTTCGGTAAATGGTGTTGGGTAAACTGGACAGCTACCTGCAAAGGAATGAAACTGAACCATTTACTTATACCATATACAAAAATAAACTTAATATGGATTAAAGACCTAAATGTAAGACTTGCAACCAGATTACTCCGAGAAAATAAAGGCAGTAATCTCTTGGATATCAAACACAAAAAGGCAACCTACTGAATGGGAGAAGACCTGTACAAACAATACATCTGATAAAGGGTTAACATTCAAAGTATATAAAGAACTTATACAACTCAATACCAAAAAGGCAAATAATCCAATTAAAAAATAGGCAGAGGACTTGAATAGACATTTTTTCAAAGAAGACATAAAGATTATAGATGGCCAACAGACACAGAAAAGATGCTCAACATCACTAATGATCAGGGAAATGAAAACCAAAACCACAATGAGGTATCACCTTACAACTTTCAGAATGGGTAAAATCAAATGCTGGCAAGGATGTAGAGATCTGAAATCATGACCTGAGCTGACGTCAGGAGTCCAACGCTTAATTAGAGCCACCCAGGTGCCCCAATAAGACTCCTGAATGCAGGTATTTTATGTCACCAGTTAGGCACAGGACCTTATGCTTCAGGAAGTCAAATAGGGTTGACATCCTCTTATTCAAGTTAAGAGTAGAAGAAAGTAAACCTAGATGGGAAGCCACTTCAGCACACAGAGGTGGGCAAAGGAGTTCAGAGAGACAGGCTAGGAGCTGCCCTAGGAGAGGAACAGGTTAGGCCAGGCAGGAGGCAGATGGCCTCCCTCAAGCATCAGCAAAACCTCCCAATGCCTTGACAGTTCAAAGAGTTGGAAGTAGGGGAGAAAGAGAGATCTTAGGTCAAAATAACTGCCCAATCTGTGTGCTTACCAGTACATTCTAAGGGTCATCTAATGAAACAGTTAAAAGGTGAGTTAAGAATGAATATTCTCTTTAATCTGAAACTCACCAAAATCACTTCAAGGGTATTAATTTATGTTAACAAGAAGAATTTGATATTCTCCAGAAATTATATTGTCACTAAGTCACAACAGTTTCAACAGTACTCTGATTTGAGAATGATCTTGTGGCAGAAAGGGGCTCATCCTAATAGGCTCACCTGAAGATCTTTTGGCAAGATGGTATTCTTTCTGAGTGAATTGATCCGTAGCCTCTCATCTGCATATTCATAGGCCATTTTTCGTCTCTTCACATCACGCAACATTTTCCAGTCCACATAATAACCTCGAACTTGGCCTGAAGCTGATGAAGGAACCATCTAAATAACAAGGAACAAGGTGAAGGATAGTGACATCCACGCTCTGCCAGTGTCTCTCATCCTGTGATCCCTTTTATTGACTATGACCTAATACTTTTTTTTCTAATAACTTTGGATCACTTTAAAGATTTTATTTTTTTTTTAAGATTTTATTTATTTATGCATGAGACACACACACAGAGAGAGAGAGGCAGAGAGAGAAGCAGGCTCCACGCAGGGAGCCCGACGTGGGCCTCAATCCCGGGTCTCCAGGACCCCAACCCGGGCTGAAGGTGGCGCTAAACCGCTGCGCCACCAGGGCTGCCCAAGATTTTATTTTTTATTTATGTATTTGCAGAGCACAAGCAGGGGGAACAGCAGAAGGAGAAGCAGCAGCAGACTCCTCACTGAGCAGGGAGCCTAAAGCAGGGCTTGATCCCAGGATCATGGCAGAAACTTAACTGAGATTCCCAGGTGCCCCTGGATCACTTTAATAATGTAAACTAGTGGACAACTCAAAATAAATTACTTCCACAAAAGTACATTAATCCAAATGGTGGTAATTAATAATGCCAAAAAGGTGTGTTGGAGAAATTTTTTAAAAAATTTATTTAAATTCAATTAACATACAGTGTATTATTAGTTTCAGAGGTAGAGTTCAGTGATTCATTAGTTGCATATAACACCCAGTGCTCATTATTACAACACGTGCCCTCCTTAATGCCCATCACCCACTCACCTCACTTCCTCCCCCCTCCAGTGACCCTCAGTTTGTTTTCTATAGTCTCTTATGGTTCATCTTCCTCTGATTTCATCTTATTTTATTTTTCCCTCCCTTCCCCTGTGTTGTTTCTTAAATTCCACGAGTGAAATTATAACTGTCTGACTGACTTACTCCACTTAGCAGAATACCCTCTAGTTCCAACCACATTGTTGCAAATGTTAATAGTTCATTTATTGATGGCTGAATAATACTCCATCACACACACACACACACACACACACGGTAAATAGCTAGTAATGCAATTGCTGGGTCATAGGGTAGGTCTATTTTTAACTTTTTTTAAAAAACATTTTAAAATTTATTTATTCATGAAAGACACAGAGAAAGAGGCAGAGACATAGGCAGAGGGGGAAGCAAGCTCCCTGCAGGGAGCCTGAAGCAGGACTCAATCCCAGGACCCCAGGATCACGACCCAACCCAAAGGCAGACACTCAACCAATGAGCCACCCAGGTGCTCCTATTTTTAAGTTTCTGAGGAATCTCCATACTGTTTGCCAGAGGGGCTGTACCAGCTCTCATTCCCACCAGGAGTATAAGAGGGTTCCCTTGTTAGATTTTTAATATAATTCTGTTGGATCTTTACTTAGGCTAATAGTTATATGGTTCAAAAACCAAAAAAAGTATATAAAAAAGAAAAACAGTGCAGACTCTCTCCCACCTTATCCCTTACCCAATGACCACTGCTCTACCTTCAATGGTATCCACTGTTACTAGATCTTGTGTATCCTTCCAGATACCTACACACACACACACACACACACACACACACACACACACACACACTCTATTTCCCAGGTTTCATGTCCTCCTCCCTTTTTCCTCATTTAACAATATATTTTGGAGAGCTTTCATATCCACATGTTAAAAAATGTCTCCATTTTCTTTAGGCTGCATATTCCACTGTCCATGCAGTGGACTTGACAAGGTTCAGGGCACACTACCTCAAAATATGGCACCTTGATATACTATTTCAGGCAAAAGGAATCTGAAACACAACAGGTAAAGACTTTCTAACCTCCCCCCGAAGCAGGTGGTAAGACCCTCAGGTGAGACGTGCCTCCCTACACTTAAAGGGGCTTACGGCAGGGGGTGGGGGGTGGGGGGTGGGGGGTGTTGGTCAGCCTTACCATTGAAGATGGAGGGATGCCAAGAGGAATGTGAAGGAACAGGCCTTGGCAATCCCTGAGTTTACCACACTCAGCTCATATTCCTTCTCTTATCACATTTCCCCAAAACTTAGCACTTCACCAGACCTAGCGTAAATATTCAGGTTAAACCACGTCTTCCAGTCATCATTGCCTTATGAAGGCTCACTGTCATGTAACACATATTTGTATGCTTTTCTCCTGTTCATGTCTTTTGTTACAGGAGCCCCAGCTGAGAACATAGAAGAAAAGAAGGAAATTTTCTCCTCCTCACAGATGCATCATTTAATCAGTCTGTGACCTCCTCGTGGACATCTAGATCACATCTCATCATTTATCATTCAAAACAATGCTGCACTGAATAACCTCCTACATATATTATTTTACATTCATCCCTTTAGATCAGCAAGATACATTCTTGGAAGCAGAATGCTGGGGTAAAGGGTACTTTGAAATTATCACTGAGCTAATATTTTTAGCACAAATTGTCCTGTAATAAAACAATACATTTCTCACGGTCACGTTTACTTGCTAAAAAATAAAACCACAGGGCCAAAATGGCATCACTTAGGTCGGGTCCTCAAACAAGAGTTTAATACCTAATCTACTCACAGTTTCAACCTCCCTCAGAAAAGTAGTCTTATCTGACTAGTCAAGAACTTTCTGATGGGTGCCAGTAAGTACCACATAGGCCAGTCCCCCAAAGGAAGATGAGGCCATCTGCTTAAGATCTCCTGTTCTTATGTATTTATTTTAGATTTAAAGATTTATTTATTTTTACAGAGAGGAGTGGAATGGGGAAAAGAGTTTTAAGCAGAATCCACACAGTGTGGAGTCCAGCATAGGGCTCAAATCCACAACCCTGAGATCACAACCTGAGCCAAAACCAAGGGTCGGATGCTCAACTGACTGCCACGTGCCCCCAACACTCATTTTTTAAAACAAATTTATTTTAGGGATGCTCAATGGTTGAGTGTCTGCCTTGGGCTCAGGGCATGATCCTGGGATCTGGGATGGAGTCCTGCACTGGGCTCCTTGCGGGGAGCTTGCTTCTCCCTTTGCCTGTGCCTCTGCTTCTCTGTGTCTTTCGTGAATAAATAAAATCTTTAAAAACCAAATACATTTTAATCTTAACCAGCTTGACCACATATTAAAATTCCTTTTCAAAGATTCCTTTTCCACAAACCCTCTATTGCTCTTTTTTTCCTCTGTATTCCAGTTTTGTCCTTTTTTTCTTTAAACAACCAGTCTCATTTTAGGACAAAATTAAATTTTTTCCCTTTAACAAAAAAATTCATCTCTATTCCTCATACTTTCCTGAAAACATCCTATTTTCTTGACATATGGAAATGTTTCCTTTTTTAGTAGTTTTAATTACATACATTTAAACTTTTTACCTTAGAAACTTTAATTCATACTAAAAACTAAGAAGCGGGCAGCCCCGGTGGCTTAGCGGTTTAGCGCCGCCTTCAGCCCAGGGCATGATCCTGGAGACCAGGGATTGAGTCCCATGTCGGGCTTCCTGCATGGAGCCTGCTTCTCCCTCTGCCTGTCTCTCTCTCTCTCTCTCTCCCTGTCTCTAATAAATAAATTAAAAACCTTTAAAAAAATTAAAAAAAGAAAACTAAGAAGCAATTGTGAATGGAGTGTTAACCACCATTCCTTAAATTTGCCAAGTTATGAATACATTTCATACTACGTAGAAGCATATGTGTCCCTTTTAAAATTTTTTTCTTGTAGTATTAACACATCTAAATCTCTTTTAGTTTCTTTGTAGTAGGAATCCAAAATAGATAAACCTATGTTTAGTAATGTTTTAGTGTTTTGTCTTATTCTATGTATTTAATGAATTTAACTTAACTCATCATTTAACTTAGTAAAACTTTAAGAGCCTGATGCAGGACTTGATCTCAGGACTCTGGGATCATGACCTGAGCTAAAGGCAGGCATTGAACTGACTGAACCACCCAGGTGCCCCCAGGAAAGAGTTTTAATATCAAAAGCTGTTACCAGGGCACTTGGGTGACTCAATTGCTTAAGCGTCAGGCTTGCTTTCAGCTCAGGTTATGATCTCAGGGTCCTGAGACTGAGTTCTGTGTGGGGCTTAATGCTCAGTGGGGAGTCTGCTTCAGATTCTCTCTCCCTCTCAATGAACAAGTAAATCTTAAAAAAAAAAAAAAAAAAAAAAAGGCTGGTACGAAATGAGGATCTGGTTTTCCCTCTGCTAAAAGGACAGTTTTCTTGGACTTTCAGCCTGCTTTAATTGTCAGATTAATACTGACAATTTTTTTTTTACCTTTTAAGTTTCATAATGATCTGTGATCCTATTTAGGCAACTGCTTTTGGAGATTTTTAATAAACTTCCCAAAATCAAATTTAGATGAAGCCTTTGGCCTGGAGTATCCTAAAATATTGGTTAATTAAAATGTAAATTAGAAAAAAAAAAAGGAGACAAGAAAAAATATGTAAATTACATGAGAAGCACTGTCAAGGAAGTAATACTAAGTCTTTATATTGTAAGATTGTGGCACATGTGCCTGAAGTCCATTCGGCTTCTGCAAAAATGGACTCTCACTACCAAACCTTCCATTTGTGTGTCCTTGTCACATGACAACAGTTGGCCCCTACATTGGAGATATTAAGATGGCTCAAAAATCACTGTCAACAAATAGGACTACAGGAAACCCAAAACAGCCATGTGGCTCTTCTCTGCTCCCTGTCAAACCCTGATTTTCAGTTTTTGCATTCCTTCACCCTCCATGACACATTTAAGATGACTCGAACTATGGACAGACATTAGTGTGGAGACTTCTTTCAAATTACAAAAACTGTTTACTAGTAATGTCCAATCTGTGTAGGCCACAATCCTGGAAAAATCCTGTTTGTGCTCCCAGAGGCTTCATACCTCCTTCTGGGCCCTTTGAACACTTGCAGCTGGATTTCATTTAACTGCCACTTAGCATGGGCAATCAATATGTTCCTGTAATTTTAAGTGTTTTCTGATTGGACTGAAGCTTTCCCTGGCTGCAAAGCTGATGCCCCCCACAACAGCAAAGAAATGGTTAGAAGTGTGTTTCCATGATCTCCAAGGACCAAAGTGCATCCCCTTCACTAGGTAAATCATACAAACATTAACAAAAACCTTGCAAACGTTTTGGAATTTTTTTTTTAAGATTTTATTCATTTATTCATGAGAGAGAGAGAAAGAGAGAGAGAGGCAGAGACACAGGCAGAGGGAGAAGCAGGCTCCATGGTGGGACTTGATCCTGGGACTCCATGATCATGCCCTGGGCCAAAGGCGGCGCCAAACTGCCCAGCCACCCAGGTTGCCCACGTTTTGGAATTCTATCTACATATGACATTCTGCTGATCTCTTGTTGTCTTATGCTAGTATGGCGAGCTACTATAAATCTTTAATACCTTAAGCTAAACTCTATAATCAATATGTACATAAAGCTTTCTGTGAACCCCAGTTCAAAGGATCCTATTGGTTACAGTCTGGAAGCTGAGAATTGGGCATTTTGAAAACATCATCAGAGAAAAATAGTTCTCGAGCCCCACTGGTAAAGACCTTACCCAAGTGCTCCTGACCACTAACACTGCTGCAAAACCAAAAGATATTAGGCCATGGATACACACAGCCAAAAAACCACTCCACCTGACACCTGGCCTATACAGATGCTTCAGACTTCTAAATCAGATTGACAAAGAGAAGTAACTGGCATTGCAACAGACTACATCCACCCAAGACTTCATACAACAAACATAAAACCAGCTCTCCTTTTCCTTTCCTTTAATCTGGTACCCCCTGGAAAGATTAATGTCCTCATTAACGTCCCAGGCCCTTGTGAAGAGGGGGTAACCTCTTATTTCAGGCTAGGAGAAAATCTAACTGTGCTCTTGACTTTTCATAAGCAAAATAAAACATCTTATTGGTCAATTTCCCTGAATTCACATCGTTGAGTTAAAAAGGACCTACCAGGAGGCTTTCATGACTCAGGATTTATTTGACAGGTCCATATTTCTCTGATTGGGATAAACATAAATGAGGCTATGATCAAGAACTGCTCCTTAATTCTTAAAATTATTGCAAAATCTGTTACTAAAGCAGTAACAGCCCAATAAAGATCCTGAGACTCCCTAGCCAAAGTTGTCCTTGATAATAAAATAGCTCTCAATTATCTTTTATCTGAACAAGGTGTCAGTCCTTATGGCCACCACCACCTGCTGTGCCTGGATTAACGCTTGTGAGGAGGATGAAACTCAATTACATAAAATCACAGAACAAGTCATTTGGCTTAAAAAGGCTGCTCCTTCCCAGGGTCTTTCTTTGACTTATTGAATTTTGATTCATTTGGCTCTTGGGGACCATAGCTCTTTAACATATTCCATATATCAGGAATTATCTTGCTTATAGTAATCATAACAGCTTCCCTCGTGCGTTGTATTCTCTCAAAAGTTATTAATGCATGTTCACGGCTGCTAACCACCAAGCAAATGATCTCCCTAAGACCTGAAACATCTGGGGGCGCCTGGCTGGCTCAGTCGGTAGAACATGCAACTCGATCTTAGGGTTGTAAGTTTGAGTCCCACGTCAGGCATAGAGATAACTTTAAAAATTTTTTAAATTAGGAAAAAAAATTGAAACATCTAAGGAACAAAGAAAATGACCAACTTAAAAAACTGAACCTAAAGCCATGATCTGTGAATATCCCAGAGGTTAAGCCAAACATCACGACCTATAGAAATCACACACAGAGGAATAACAAAAACTGCTAGAACTTGAAGTTGGTTACTGGGTGATGCTAATGCCTTCAATTCTTTTTTTTTTTTTTTTAAGATTTTATTTGTTATTCATAAGAGACACACAGAGAGAGGCAGAGATATAAGCAGTGGGAGAAGCAGGCTCCCTAACAGGGAGCCTGATGCAGGTTGAGATCCCAGGACCCCGGGACCATGCCCTGAGCCACCCAGGCACCCCTAGTGCCTTCGATTCTGATCACATTTCTGTCAAGCTGAAAGTCTGACCAGAAGGTGGTAATTATAAGAGAAAAACCACAGGCCCAAAATGGCATCATTTAGGCCAAGACCTCAGGCCAAAGCTTAATACCTAATGTACCCCTGGTTTCAACCTCCCCCAGAAAAAGCACTCTTCAGTCTTCACTGGTCAGTCAGGAATTTTCTGATGGGCACCAATAAGTGCCCCACAGGTCCTCCATCCCCCAAAGGAAGATGAAGTAGTCTGCATGAGAAGATCACTGTTCATTCCCTCTAAGGGGAAGTGATATTGCCTGGAACAATCCTTTTCTTTTGCTAATAACTTTCTTGCCCCACCCTCTTTCCTATAAAAACCTCCATTTTGTACAGTTCCTGAGAGCTCCCCTCTACTTGCTAGATGGGAGGGTTCCTGATTCCAACATCAATTAATAAAACCAATTAGATCTTCAAATTTACTCAGTCCGATTTTTTAATTTAGTGCAGGCATAGATTATATAGGCCACCAAAATTCAAGTCTCTCCCAAATCAGAGCAAACATTACATGTTAATTAAATTTCAGCTATGAAGGGACACCTGGGTGACACAGCTGGTTAAGCATCCGACCCTTGGTTTGGACTCAGGTTGTAATCTCAGGGTGGTGAGATCAAGCCTGGAATCGGGCTCCTCATTCAGTGTAGAATCTGCTTGGTATTCTCTCCCTTTGCCCTCCCCTTCGAACTCACACTCTCTCCTTTCTACAAGAAAGAAATCAATCTTAAAAAAAAATTTTAACTATGGAAATGATGACTTCCAATAAAAGCTCTTTATAGAATATACGTACAGCATTATACAGAATATAAATCGAAAATGAGATTACTAGAACGCCAATATTTTTTCAATCTATTAATAAAAGATAAACTGAATGCATTCAATGCTAACAGGGGTAAGACAACAATTCTACAATCACCCTTGAAAATGAAACAAGCACAGTGGAATTCCAATATTGATTTGACACATGACTAAGTTAAATGAATACCATGGTTACTGGGGCTGGAAACAACTATCACGGAAAAAGGGGCTTTAGCAAAGCTTTGAAAGGACTGACAGGATTTTTGATATAGCTGCAGGGGCGGGTGGGCGGGTTGGGGTACAGGACAGTGGGAGAGAAGCTGAAGTTTGTTCAACCCAAACAGGAAAATAAACAAGATAGACTCCTAAGACCAGGGGAGATCATTCTGGCTGGAAGAAACAATTTGTGTTGAAGGGCAACTCATGGTTCAAATCAAACTGAAAGTTAAGGAAACTTAGAAAACAAAATTAAACATTTCCTTTCTTTTCCAAACTATTCCTAATCAACCTCTCTAACCATCTCTGAACAGGTTTCTATCTATTTTTAAACGTCTTTCTTTCTTTTTTTTTTTTATCTTTTTTTTTTTCTGGCTAGAAAAGAAATACACTCTTAAAACATTTATTGGTCTATTACATTATTTCTTCTGAGAATGTTTTACGTCCTTTGCCTACATTTATAGTATCAATATTTTATCGGTTTCAAACACTGCTATATACATTAAGATTGTATTCTATTCTGTACACATCCTCTTCTGCCCCCCAGTCTGTCTTTACCTCCCAAAATGCTTTCACTGGGCCCTCAACTCCTGCTCTACAGTCATCAAAATCATCTAAATCCTCAACTTCCCTTAACATCCTCAGAGTTTTGCTCCAGCTGAATCCTGAATCCCTCCTGCTGGCTTTCCCTGTAGTTTTTTTCTCCCGTGAATGGCCACGGAGGTGGGAGAAATGTATTTCTTGCTCTTCAGGGAAGCTCCCAAACTTTTCTTCCTGAAAGCAAGCTTTGACTCTTGCTTTTGGTTTGTACCTTTCACCACCCCTCAACTCCTGCACTCATCTACCACAGCCCTTCCCTTTCATTTTCACTGAATCTAGATCCTGGTTCACTGTCACTCTTCAATATTCTTGTCCTAATTCCTGGTGATCTCAGTATACACAAAATTATCTCCTGATAAATTTCCTCAAACTCCTCTCCTCCAGTGATTTTTGATACTCCCTTCCATGCCCTGGGTTTTTTACTACCAGTAAGTGGAAACTTTCCATTACCTCAGTTTTGTGTGTCTCATTCTCTATCACTTCTGTCTGGCTTGCTCCTTCAAACAGTCCAATACCAAGCCCTATGAGGTTTTTAATTCATTGATTGTACCACCTTTTCACTCTCAGCTTTGATTTCCTGTTTCCCCCTTACCCAGCCTAAATTCCACAGTGTGTAAATACAATGTTGTATCTCATACAATCTCAACTCCCTCCACTCTGATATAGCAGCCGCTAACCACATACTGCTTCTGAACACCTGAAATGTAACCAGTGCAAATGGGGAATGTAATTCATAATTTTATTTAATTTTAATTCATTAAAAATTTAAACTGAAGCAGCTGTAAATGTCAAGCAACTTTACTGTCTTGGTAGGACTACATTTTCCATCTTCATGGTGGAAAATGTGGCATTCAAACGGAGATGTGCTGTAAGGAAAACTCCAACTGGATTCTGAAAATCTAGTATGACAAAACAATGTAAATATCTCATAAGTCATTTTCATAGGTTACATACTGAAGTGATATTTTGGATATACTGGCTTCAAAATATTTTATTCAAATTAATTTCAAGTTTCTTTTTACTTTAACATAGCTACTAGAGTATTTTAAGTTACATATAGAGCTGGCATTATATTCCTGTTGGACAACACAACCACAGATGATGACCTGTCCATGTTCCTAAGGTCAAACAGTGGAACTTGAGACTCACCACCTGTTACCTGCACAAGGGTACAGGTCCAGCAATCCCCCCCCCCCCCCCCCCCGGTTACAGGATCTTTCCCGTTAACACAAAGACAGGCAGTTACTTCCGACACGTGGAAAAACATGCACACAAAACGCCCACTCTTAACCCACCTCTCCTTCCCGTAGCTACTGACCAATGGGTTTCTGCTCCCCTGGCAGCAAAATATCTGCAAAGATTTGTCTATACTCGTAGCCTCTCCCATTTCTTTCCTCTCGTCCACTCTCTCGAACACTTTGGCCCGCACCACGCCACCGAAACTGCTGTGATGAAGGCTCCAACGACTCCCACGCTGCTAAATCCGACAGCCAGGTCTCAGCCCCTTTGGCCCGTCAACTTTGCGCACAGACCCTGCTCCCTGCCACGCTGTCCTCGCCTGTTTCTGCGCCACCGGTCTCCGGGCTTTCCCTCTCCCTCGCTCAACTCTCGTCAAGTCTCCTTTGCTCTCCTCGGAACGCTGGAGTCCCTGGGGGTCACAGTCCACCGACACCCCCCAACCCCCACCTTCTCTTCTCCGCCTGCTCTCACTTCTAAATCGGCGGCAATCCGCAGCTTTCAACGCCGGGCCGTTACGGGCTTACGAACACCAAATTTGCACCTGCGCGGCTCGGAGACCTCCCCTGGGACGACTCCGCACTGGACCCTACGGGCGGCAGAGTAGTAGTAGGGGACCCGCGGGTTTGGGGGTTCAGTAGGGAGGGCGGGGCGGGCGGGGCACGGGGCTAAGGGAGCGCGCCTGACCTGCCGGACGGTCCGCAGCAGAGAGCCCAGCATGGAGGCCGCCATGTTGTCTGCCGCAAACGCCGAGGCGCCGGAGTATTTATTGACTGCTCTTTACGACGAGGACGCGAGGGGCGGGGCCCGGGGCGCAGGGGGCGGGGCGGAGGGCGGGCCGTTAGCCTATGGCAGGAAGGCTCACTTATTGGCTTTGCGTTCTCGCGGTATTTCACGAAACGAGCTAATTACAAACCCGGGAGCGGGGCTCTGACGCGGAGGGTGCCGTCGGCTGTCTTCGCGTGTTGCTGTTTTTTCTTCAGCTTTTCGATACTTTTCAAGTATCTTTGCCCCTACCTACCTCCTCTCCTCGGCTCCCCAGACCTACCTTCGTCACCAAGTTCTCTTCTCCTGGTTCTCGGTCTCGCCGAGCCTGCTCCTCCTCCTGTGCCCTCCATCCAGGTTAGGATGCTATTGCCCATGAACCTAGACTTCTTGCCAACCCCTCCTCCTCTGTAATTCCTCCTGTAGACTTTGCAGATCCTTTCTGTCCACTATAATGGCGATAATGATTGTATAGATAATGGCAATGATAAAGACAGTTCCAGTTTATATGTCTGGGATTTTTATATACATTAAAACACTTTTTTTCCTTTTTGCGGGGGGGGGATTGTTGTCATTTACTTTGTTTTTTTTTAAGATTCTATTTATTTATGAGAGACACAGAGAGAGGCAGAGACACAGGCAGAGGGAGAAGCAGGCTCCCTGCGGAGAACCCGATGTGGGACTCGATCCCGGGACCCTGGCAGAAGGCAGATGCTCAACCACTGAGCCACCCAGGCACCCATTGATCTCAGGGTCATGAGTTTCAGCCCCATGTTTTACTTGAATAAAATTTTTTTAAAAGGCTGTTTTCAGACTGTAATACGGGGAACTTTTATGTCCTCTACACAGCAGATGTCCTTGTCTGGAATGAACACTTTGAGGGGGTCCTTACCTTTGGGTGTAAGGCTGGTACCCCCTACCCACAGTTCTGGCAGGAGAGTACCAAGGCGTGTTGCAGTACCTTGGCAAACACCTGTATCTTAGATGTGCTGATGGAGGAAGGAGATCCCCATGTGCTATTCACATCTTCTGGGAAGGAAGCGGAATGTCGACTCCCTGCTTTAAAGGTTCAGGTTTTTTGGAACATAGTTAATGGACAGGGGAGGAACTGACTGAGGCCAACTGGCAGCAAAAAAAACATGAGTCCCTGTCACGGTAGAATCAGAAAATCCCTGACCATGTCATCAGGAAAATCCCTGACCGTGTCAGGTAAGGGTGGATTCCTACTGTTAGCCCATGGGATGCCTTTCTCTCCCCACAACTGAGAGTCATCTGTAGTCCGCTCACAAAACGAGTGAGCCAGTTTTGTGTACAGTGGCCTTTTGCTTCCTTTCTGAAACAAGAGTTCTGAAAGCATCCTTAAGCCACATTGGTAACTTTAAAAGAAATTGTAGTAGAATATATACAATATAAAATTCCCCATTTAATCTTTAAGCGGTATTTAAATTCATTTATTTGTTTGTTTATTTATTTATTTAGTCCAGTTCAGTGGTATTAAGTACATTCACATTGTTGTGCAACCACCACCACCATTCATCTCTAGAACTTTTTCACCCTCCCAACGGGAAACCCTGTACCCATTAAACAATAACTTTCTATCTTCCCCCACCGCCATCCCCTGGCAACCACTATTCTGCTTTCATCTCTACAAATTTGACTACTCAACCTACCTCATGTAAGTGGAAGCATACAGTTGTCCTTTCGTGACTGGCTTCTTTCACTTAAGAGAATGTCAAGTTTCATCGATGTTGTAGCATGTGCCTGTACTTCATTACCTTTTATAGCTGAATAATAGTTCATTGTATGGGTAGACCCCATTTTGTTTCTCCAGTCATCTGTTGATGGACATTTGCTTGGCTTGCACACATTGGATATTGTGAATAATGCTACTATGAACATGTATGTACAAATATCTTATATAGCATTTGTATCTTATCAGACTGTTCTTTTTTCTTTTAAACTTTTTTAAAATATTTTTTTCTAAAGATTTTATTTCTTTATCTATGAGAGACACACAGAGAGAGGCAGAGACACAGGCAGAGGGAGAAGCAGGCTCCATGCAGGGAGCCCGACGTGGGACTCGATCCCAGGACTCCAGGATCATTCCCGGGGCTGACGGGAGGCGCTCAACCACTGAGCCACTCAGGCGTCCCCGTTCTTCACTTTAAGAAGAGATTAAAGCAATTTAATGGCTAGTAAGATAGGCAGCTTTCAGTAAAAGGAGACTCCAGGGTTTTCTTTAATTGATAGTCTTGGTTTTGTAAAACAGCCTAAGATTTTTCCTCCAATGCCCCTTCCTCCATTAGTGTGTCTGGCAACTTTGCAAGGCTAAAGAAAGCTCACTTAACCTTGAGTTTTCCTAAGAAGTCCATGATTCTCTGTGGCCATTTGACAGAATATGGGGGAGGCTGTTGGCCTTACTGCTCTGGAATTCTAGGATCAGAAGAACCATCATCATTCACTCATTTATTCATTCAGTAAGTATATATGAAGTGCCTATTATGTACCCTTATTGTGTATTGTGTATGTGTATGTGCATGTGAAGTGGGGTAACAGAAGAAAATCCTGACATTCTGATGGAAGGAATTTCCTTCAACTGGAAATTACAGATTTAGATATTGGTGGAGATAATCACAATTGTTAGTTATATTGCTTTTGCTTTTTCTGTATAATCTTTCTTTTAGAGGCTAGAAGGTACTTTTTATTTAATTTTTTAAAAGATTCTATTATTTTATTCATGAGAAACACAGAGAGAGAGGCAGAGACATAGGCAGAGGGAGAAGCAGGCTCCCTTCAGGGAGCACGCGTTCAACCACGGAGCCACCCAGGCATCCCTAGGAGGTACTTTTTAGATGGATAGATAAAAATTTAATTGTTAAGTATTTTGAGATTTGACTGTGAGAAAGTATTCTAGTCATGATGTTGATTCTAGGCCTAATAACAAGAACCGTTGTATGGATGATGAAATTGAGGCACAGAGAGGTTAGGTGACATGCTAAGCTCACAGAGCTAGGCGCCAGACCCAGGGGTCTTAATCCTCACCCCACACTGTCCTCTGGAGGAGCACCAGCTCAAGGACAAAGGCTCAAGGACAAAGGCTCAAGGACTGCTGTTATGGAATCCTTACTTGTAAAACATATCAATTGGTTGATGTACAGATTTCATGCAATTTCAATCAAAACTTCCAATGAGGTGGGGGTGAGGGACTTCCAATGCATTTTTTTTTCTTAACAAAATAATTCTTAAATATGTGTAAAAGAATAACTCGGATGGGAATGAGGTAGAAGGCTATGCAATTTTTGAAAAGGAAAATAACAAAGAGCCTTCCTTGCTCTACTAGATATTACAATGCTATATACTATAAAGCCATAGTGATTAAACTAGTGAGGGACTAGGGCCAAAGTCAACAGACAAGTAAAGGAACTAAAACCAGGTAGGCCAAAAAGAAATCCCAGTGTAATTACAATTTGGTTATATATTAAAGGAAGTGTAACAGTCATTGAGCAAATGGTAGTAGAACAACTAGTTAAAGATTCAAGAAAAATTTGTTTCTTTTTTTTTTTAATTTGTTTCTTTAAAGATTTTACTTTTGTTTAAGTCATCTCTACACCCAGCATGGGGCTCAAACTCATGAACCCAAGATCAAAAGTCACATGCTGTATCGACTGAGCCAGCCAGGTACCCCAGGAAAGCAAGCTTTAATTATATCTTTGCTTGCTTTATGTAGATTAAGGAGTTAAATGCTAACAAAGCTTTAAAAACAGAAGAAGAAAACATAGATTAATATCTTTTTAGACTTAAAACCCAGTAGACAATCCTCAATGTCTAATAAGATGACAAATATTCAGCCTCACTAGTTTCCAAGAGAATGCAAATTAAAACAGTGACAATTTCATCTAGCAAATTAACAAAGGTTAAAAGAAAGTTCGGTGTTATTTTGAGTGTGGGGAAACAGGTAATTTCCTATCCTAGCAGTAGCAATATAAATTGGCATCACTTGTCCTCGAAATACTTTGACAAGACTCTAAAATTTTTATCTATTGACCCTGTTACACCACTTTTAGGAATCTATTCCAAGGGAATACTGAGAAACTAAAATTTATTTATAAGGACATGTGCCACGGGATTATTTAGAATAAGAATGAATAAATAACAGTCTAACAGTAGACAGAGAGTTAAGTGAAACAAGAAACAACATGTTGGGTTCAGCGGTTTAGTGCTGCCTTCAGCTCAGGGCGTGATCCTGGGAACCCAGGATCGAGTCCCACGTCAGGCTCCTGCATGGAGCTGCTTCTCCCTCTGCCTGTGTCTCCGTCTCGCTCTGTCTCTAATGAATAAATATTTTTTTTAAAAAAAAAAGAAACAACATGTTGTAATTCTAGTTTACATATGACGGGTTCCAAATTTCAAAAAATATATGTTTAAAGATACAGATATAGTTATGGGAAGGTAGATAGGTAGGTAGAAAAAGATTAGAAAGGGGGCACCTGGGTGGCTCAGGTCATGATCAAGGGGTCCTGAGGTCAAGCCCCTTGGCGGGGGGCCTGCTTCTCCCTCTCCCTTAGACCCTCCTCCATGCTTGTGTTCTCTCTCTCTCAAATAAATAAAAAAGTAAAATCTTTTTTTTTAAAGATTAGGAAGGAAGTAACTCAAATACGGAGTAATAGGTGAGTGACCAGATTACTGATTATATTTTTAGAAGTTTTTCAATTTCCCTATAATTTATATTTTACTTTTATTTTTTTTTATTTTTTTAATTTTTATTTATTTATGATAGTCACAGAGAGAGAA